TATGATTTTTGTAGATCACAGAAAGCATATTACACACGTCGGCTTACCGATTCAAAATATTTCAGAATCTTTTTTGATTTAATTGTTTTCTTCCCTGGGGATGAATTATAATTTATACCTTGTTTGGGAGATGGAGATGGAGAAGGTGACGCATCACCAACCAGCCAGAGTTGTAGGGCATGTCGGCCATGTTTGTCTACCAACCTAGTCAAACTCATTTTTCTGTCAGTCATTCAAAATTTATAAGGAATTCCGGCTCCTATACTTTTATTTTTTTGGCAATTAAACAAACATGCCCCACGAAAAAGTACCCACATCTTTTTAAGATTTCATCAATGCATAATACATATATATATATAAATACAGTACCCAACAAAAACTAAAGCTATCATCTTTTTCAACATTCAACCCGACCCTTCTGCACTATTCCATAGCCGACCTCATCTCAGTCTTAATTATGGGGAATATGTCTGTGTATATATATATATATATATACACACACGTCATATGCAATCAAAATTAGAAACTCTGTATATTCAAGATAACTTTGAGTAAGAGCTAACGCGCCTACTAAAAAAGATAATACTGGTGGACATATTACACGTACCAGACCAAATGGGTCAAAATTGCCTTCGACTTGTGGTTTGCAGGTTATGACTTTACAGTGATTTGCTTTAGCAAAATGCTCCCATAATGTACGGATCTGGGTCCGATACTAAAGACAAGACAAGAGATGTTTGTCTCCTTAAAAGTGTAGGAGAGAAATCAAAATCTTTCATTTTGAAAATCTGCTGAAATCACATTGGTCAAAAACCATTAGTACTTTTACGTATATATATATATATATAATATTATGGAAAAGTAGATACACTGTTATTACCTCATATATATATATATATATAGATTGACAGAGAATTAAAGAAGAAAAACTACTGCATAAAATTTACACATAATAGAAGACAAATTTTAAATTGAAGGGTTAAAAATATTTTCTAATAACAATCATTATATATACATATATATAGACATATATTAATCATTAGTCACTAACAAAGCTCATTCACCATAAAAAAAGACAAAAGATACGTTACTTCTATATATATATATATATATATATATATATATATATACACACACGCACACCCAATAGTCGTTAGGCGGATGTGTGTTATTAGAATAGATGTTTAAAAGTGGACACAAAAAGTACATACTGGAGGCTTCAAAATAATATAATAACGTATGACTTCTTGAGACAGCTTATCCAAAGAAATGAGGCAGGAGAAGATTGGACCAAGCAAAAATTAAAATCAAAAGTAGTAATTAAAGATGCATATACCAATGATAGTTGTTGTCTATAAAAATTAACTTTATGCCCGATAACAAGCAATAATAGTCGAAGTAGAAACAACTCCAAAAATAAAGAAAAAGAATCAAACTCACTAGAATAAGAGCCTTAAAAGAGACAATTAAAGAATAAGAAGAAGAAAATAAGAAGAAGAAGAAAACAAGAAAAAGATTATTGTACATAAAAGGGGAAAAGAAAAAAAAGGAAAGGTCTCGAAAATGAAAGAATACTAAAAAATCCTAAAACAACAAGAATATAAGGGGAATTGTTTTCAATTTTTGATGATTGTTTAAGAAATTCTTACTTAATATGAAACTCTATAAATAGAGCTCTTCTCTTCAGAAGAAATGGTCGATAATTTTATAATAAAATTGTATGAATATATAAATTCAGCTATATCGAATGTTTTAAAATTGAAGGTAGAATCGTCTAGCCCAATTATATAGAGGAGAAAGTAAAGAGAAATCAAAGTATGTTGTTGAAGAATGCTCTCTCTCTCTCTCTCTCTCTCGAAAAGATGATTCCACTAGCACACATGAAGGAAATTGAAAATAAGTAATTGCCTAAGAGGAAAAGTTATTTATGAAACATACTTTTAATTGTTTTCTAGCTTGAAAAATCTTGTACTAAAAAATGTATCTATGTTTTCAGTAAAATTATAGTGTCCAACAAGAAATACTCTTGTCCAATCACTTTAACAATGCATGTTTCTCTTGCCGCATCATCTATCGTAGACTTTCAAGTCCCCTCTCCTTCCTTCCGCCACCATTATTGTTGTCGCTGGAAACATCCTATGGCTAGTTTCTATAAGAAAAAAATGCATTTTGAAATATAAAAATGTATATGAAACATGTACAATAACTTTTATTTTAAAGCTTATTACCTTAGAAAATTGGAATGATAAATAAATGTTTGTATTGATTAATATAGGAATAAATATATGAAGTAATAGGTAGGTGGATATCTATGCATTAGCCCCTTTTATAATGCCTACTCCTTTAAAAAGGGAATTGCGGTTCTCTCTCGTTTTTTTCATTCGCATCAAATTATGCTATGGTTATTTATATCTTTTTTTTATTACTTAATTGTTTTCACAATTTATATTATGGATAAGAAATGCAATAAAATAAATGGCTTAAGTTTATGTCATGCACTTTGTATTTTATATCAATTTATGATGCATAATTTATTTATTGCATGAGATTGTATATTTGAGCTATGAACAAAACTTAATAAGAGTAAAATATGATCAATTATGCTTCTTTATGTTGTATTTAATTTTGAAATCCATTATTGAGATAATCGATGGGTAACATACAGGAAATATGGATCTTTAATTCTATTAGTTATTTTGAAATCTATACACTAACTTGTGAACTAGATTTTTTTACACTTTATAACTTGGAACTTAATAGATTCTTCTTATATCCCTACGTTTTTTTTTTCTTTTTCGTACACACTATGTCATTTACTTAATTAGCTCAATGGTATAAGGAAGCAAAAACCTCAATTGCACTAAAAATCCAATAAAGATGGAAGAATATTGATTACATTTTTTACTCACAATAATATAATAAAAAGAGTGCCCATATACATTCCTTTAAAAGCTTCGAATGTACATATATATTATAAAAAAAACTTAGCCCATTCAAAAATTTAGTTAGAGGGATACTTTTATTGCATGAAATTGAAAATATATTAAACAAGAAATGAAATGAAATGAAAGGGATGAGTTGAGTATATTGTGCTCTAACGATGACCTAATTTCACCATAGCATCACTTTTGTGTCAATTAACAATTAGCAAATAACTTCATACTCATCAAATATGTAATATTTTAATTTATTAAATTAAAAGTTAAAGAAATCTTAATCATTAAGAAAATAAAAAGAAATGCTATATTAATTATTGAATTTCAATAATTCATTTTTAAGGGGTGATATTATGATATATTCCAATTATAAGCATGTTAAAATAACCTTGGGGTTTGGACAAAGGTTCATGATAGCACTAACTCAGACAAAATAAACAGCAAAAAATGAGCTGTTTAGTCAAGACTTACAATTCTCCATCTCTCTGTTATTATTTTATTTTTGTGATAATAAGTTTCGAGCTTTCAATATCAAACAAGACCTTGACAATTCATGAGACAAACAGGACCCACTCCGTTCTTTCGACTCGTAAATTATCTTCTTCTCAAAACTCAAAAAACATCTATCCTTGCCATGATTAAAGATCCAACCATCCATCCCTCTCTCTTGTCAACTCCCCTTACAAAACACACACGGCCAGGTGTTTGATATTTTCTCACTGCCCGTATGTTCATATGATTATCTCATTTATTTTCCTTCTTTTATTCCAAAACCCTGTATCTATATTTAAGTATGTATGTACTTTACATATATAGCATGTGCATGACCTGTATATATTATATATAACATACATGTTTGGAAATCTTAAGCGTGCTAATTAAATATATATAATGACTCATGAGCATATGTGTATATATATATATATATATATATATATAGAGAGAGAGAGAGAGAGAGAG